ATTTTAATAACTGAGTGCGTTATCCTTTCAAATTTGAACCTTATTAACATTTTACTTCCAACAACTATATTGGGTTTAATTGCTTAGAAATACATATTTCAAAATGTACTTAAGTCAAATTAAAATCGTTCATACGTCAGCGCAATGATCAGCTCTTGCGTTAAATGACGAACTGACATTTTTCCCATCAGATACCCTCCAATCACATAATGCTCGGTGACTACATTTTCCTGTTTTTGTAATGCACAGATAGAAGATGCGTTGCCTAGTAAGCACGTTTAAGAAGGAGAAAAAAGATTGATTACAGAAAATTTTCTTGTAAAGGAGAAAGAAGAAATAAAGTCGGGTCCTTCCTTATTACAACTTTACACAGTTGTTGCTATATATTTGGAATCTTTTGGACGACAATTACATTAGTGTATGTTTCGATTCCAAGGTTTTTTTTAGTGGATTCGGTTGATAGACAATAAAACGTAAAAATCCTGCAAAATGTTCCCACCTGCTGTAGAGAATTCAAACTGAAGTTTCTTTCGAAATTGCTCTTCGTGAAATCGGAGATTGTCATTAAGTGTGATGTAAGATGAGAGAGCCGTTCCACGGAAAAAGTCAACGTCCGTATTCTCTTTATTGCCGAATGTCTGCAAATTGTAAAGTCGTTGAGAAAAATGAGGCATGGAGGAGGGCGAGACAGCCTAGGTATATTGTTCACGAGGGAGACCGGATAGGTTTTCTTTTGTTCCTGTGAGTAAACAAGAAGAAGAATGGAATGTTTGTTAGGAATGATTTCAACGGAAAATGAGGTTAAAAAGGATGCGTTCACCCTCTACATTTTCCATTTTCCGAATGTTTGTTAAAAAATAATTTCGACAAAATATGAGGTTAAAAAGAATGCATTCAGCCTCTACATTTTTCTTAGAACACTAATTATTCAGCAGCTAAAAGGGTAGCCGATGAACTTCTGAAGTGATGGAAACTTTTCAGTTAAGATAGATATTTTTCTAAGTTTCTAAGCAAGATTTACATTCATCTAAAGGTGAACTATGGAGAACGAAGCACAAATCAATATGTCTCACCAAATAGCATATAACAATTTAATTGTTGTCCTATTATTGTTTAATTTCGTAATATTTTTTTGGGATAGGATTTGAAGAGTATAAAATCAATCTCGCTAACTAACTAGTTATATGTAGAAGGTTGAA